GGCGCGGGGCGGGACGGTCGTTGGCCCATATTGCGTTTACGTTTGTCGTGTGTTGTGTTGCGTACGTGGAGGGCGGTAGCGGATGTGAGTGGTGGGCGGTGGAAGCAAGACGCGAAGCGCGCGCGGCTAATCGGATGTTGTGTACTTCCCCGCCTGGCCCCGGCCTCCGTTCAAACTTCAAACTCTACGACGAGGATGGGGTCTGGAGGTCTGGAAGGCGTGGATGGGTGTAAGTGGGAGCGTGTGGTAGTGTAGACTTCGGCCTGACGGCCATCGCGAGGCTGCGTGCGGGCCGTGCGAGAGACTGATGTCATCAGCACGCGGGGGCACGCGGTGACTGACGGGCGGTGGATGCGCGCTTGTGTCTGGCGTTCAAGATATAAGTTCGGCTTGTAGTTCTCTTTGTTATTTGGTAGACAGAAGCTTCGAGGCGCACGGTATTGCCTATGTAACTTAGTACAGCATTGTGCCCAGACTTCCGCTTCCAAAATCTGAGTCGCCGAAGTTGGCAACTTGGTGAAGATCAAATGCATATAGTATTGAATGACATCCGAGCGCCTATATGCGATATATACAAAGGAGGGTATACTAAGACAAGACGATACAGATACCAGAAACCACCCGTGCATGATAATCATCCACGGATCGCGATCCCGCATCGGCGAGGACGTGCGTCGTGCGGCGAAGGCCAAACCAGCACGCCGTCCGCATCCAGCTGCCACTTGTGTAACGCGATCTCGTGTCGGCGAGCCTTGGGGATGAGTGCGTGCGGCGAGTACGGGAAAGGGCGAGATAAGGGCGAGATATATGCTGAGCTCGGACTCTGAGTCTCGAGGATCAAATACGAGCGGCGTTCGCGAGGCCCCGAGAGAGCACCGTCTTATCCTCATCCCATCCATCCTGACCCTGCCTCTACCACTCCTACGCCCTGTGCAAGAGCCAGACACCGTCGTGCGTCGTGACTGCTCGCGATTGCAGTCTCGGGCGCAGGGCGGGCGCGCGGCGCGCACACTTGGACTTCCAAACGACGGGCAATTCTATCGTATGAGTACACGGAATCGGGCCGTGGTAGATGATAGGTGAGAGCGGCAGTATATCGCGAAGCAACTAGTGAGCCAGCAAGCGAGATGGAGGGCAGAGCCAAGTCTCCTACAGACGCGCCACTCGAGCTTGTCTCCTAACGACCATGGCCCCATCCCTATCCGCCTAACCAACAGAACCCAGTCATATACTAACTTATGCTCTAACTTATCTTGAACCGCCCGTCCCGATGTCTTCCTACGACCCCGACGCCTTCGTCGTCGACCTTTCCCCGGCCCCTCTCCCGCCCCTCCTCACATTCGCCAATCTCAACATTCCACCGAATGAAATCCATCGACGCGCCTACGCCCTCGCCCTCGCTCTCGAACGACTCCCCTCATGGCCCGTCTCACCTCCAACGAGCAAAATCATGCCGCGCTGGCCGACGGGGAAGATGACGCCGGAAGTAGCGGGACGGTTGTTGGGCTATTTGTTGGTCGAGGCGCCGACGGAGGGCGGGGCGGATGGGATTGCAAGGGAGATCATGGGAGGTCGCGACGAGAGTGTTCTAGAGGAGGATGCGGATGCGGTAGAGCGCATGGCAGTTGTGGCGCTCAAGTACGCGCTGGTGTTCTTCAAGCATTGTTCGTACGTCTCGCGCTCGGCTAGACGGGATACTCTGTGCTGACGTTCCGCACATAGTTATGCAGTGCGCTCCAGCATTCTTGCGTGCCCGATCCTCTCATCAATCCCGTTCTGCTCAGGCTCTCGTCCAAATACCCTCCTCAAGACGCAGACGACTCGTCCTCCTCCTCCTCCTCCTCCGATTCGGACTACACAAAGCTTCAAGCCGCGGTCCGCCCGTCCCTCATATCACCCTGAATGCCTCAGGCTCATCTCGCGCAACAGGCCCTCCACCGCGACGCCAACACCTGCACCCTAACCCGCTCCACCGACGCAGACTACTACGAGTCCCTCCCGCCCTCCGCACGCAAATCGTCCATATCGAACGTCGCGCAGTGCCAGCTTTTACATCTCGTCCCGCGCAGCCTTGTCAAAGATGAAAGGGCCGTGCGGATGCTGCGTGCGTGGGCGGGGATCGACGTGGATACGGATAAGGATGGGCTGAGAGGCTGTGCGGGCGAGAGGCTGGAGAATGTGCTGACGACGAGCGCGAGCACGGCGCGGAATTTCGAGCGGATGCGGATCTGGCTCACACACGTCCAGGCGCGCTCTTCCCCATCTCCCCCCGCTCCCTATCTCTGTACACTAGCTAACAATCGCGGGTTCTAGGGCGACACCTACCGCGTCGAAGCCACATCCCGCCCCTTCCTGCGCGACGTCCCGCTCAACCCGCTCACCCTCTCCTCCTCCTCCTCTTCTTCTTCCCCCTCCTCTTCGTCCTCGCCGTCTCTACCGCTCCCGAATCCTGTGTATATCGGCTTGCGCCGGGCGTGTACGCGCGTACTAAGACTTTCGGGCGCGGCGGCGTACATCGACGACGTTCTGCGGCGGGAGGAGGAGTCTGGAGCGCCGGGGTACGAGGGGTGGAGAGGGAGAGGGGGAGGGGTCGTTGATTCGGAGGAGGCGTTGGATCATCTTGACACGTTGCTGTTCATGTATGCTTGTGGCTGTGGGGAAGATACGGATGTATATTGAGCAGCACTTTGCTTCTCGGACGACCGAGTCTTCTCGGCTGCATAACCGCGAGATTCCACACGACTTCTCGACGGCGCCGATCTCATGCGTACTCTGCAAAAGTTGCTCGCGAGATGCGCGGACGCTGGACTTCCGAGCTCGCGATGAGGTGCACAGCACGCGAGGCAGTGGTCCCCGCATGCGCGCAACGGCCGCTTGAAGTTTTATAAGAGAGCGCGAGCCCTCCTCGTGCCATAATATCATAATCGTGCAGTGCTATAGCGTCTCTGTACCTCCGTAAGAAAGGAAGAGGAAGAGGAAGAGGGAGCGGAACACGGAATGCGACGACCTGGATCATCGGGTTAGGGTTAGCGCAGACATGCGAGCCTGGTGTCCACACAGCGCTGGACTACCCATCACCAAGAAGTAGGTATAGGTTCACAACCGCAAGATATCGACACTGCTACACCTCGCACTTGGGCGGCCCAGCGTACGAATAGGTCGGGACCTGCTATTAGGATGAATCCGAAGCATCACGCTGCAGGACTCGCGACGCGGCGGGCGCTAGATGATGGATCTGTGCCCCTTCCACAAACCACCGCGTTCCTACACCGTGCCCGTGTCTTTGCGACTCAAACAGGTGCCATTAAAGTCCTGGGCAACAGCCGGGCACCGTGAGACTCGAAAACTTGCGATATCCGAGCTCAATGGCCAGAGCCTGAGTACCCGCCGTGATCACCGCTCGCGACTTTCGCGTGCGTGCTCCACCCAGCTCGAGTCCGGCTCAAGCCCGGGTTGAGTAGGGTTGAGTTGAGTGGGGTTGAATTGGGAGCGCTGTGCAAACTCGACTCGGCTCGAACGCAAGTCACGGCAACATCAGCCCCTTCAGCTCGCGCAATTCACGACCTGTCTAAGCAAGTAGCCGATAATACACAATTCCCAAAGACTTGCAGTGCTCTTACACAGCTGCTTGCTGACCTGACAGAGCGGCCACGTCGTAGAGTACAGCGTCCGTGTACGGGAGCCTCGGGGACCGCGGCGTCGCCGAAACACACCATCGATTCAGAGCTCGGGCTAGTCTATCTCGCCGGGTGGCCCCTCTGTATGTCGTGCGGACACGTTGCCTCTCCATACGTGGGGCGGGAGCTGCGTGGGGTCTGAGAGCTCGAGCACTCTTTCAGACGATGCGAGATGTTGTTGCATCGTGCCCAGATAGCGTCTGCCAAAGCGAAGTGTGTCGCGGCCCGGCAAGTTCGACTTCATACGCGGCGACCATTCGTACGCGCCCCACAGAATTCAAAAGCGGTAGGTAAGCTCTATCCTCAGGCAATGCGTAAGTATAAGTAGGATATTTTTGCACGTCACGGTCAGAGAGTGAACGTTCGAGTTGAGTGGCGGAGAACATGGTCCTTGTCGGATCTGATCGGACGACCCGTTAGCGCCGACGACCGTTAGCGCCGACGCGCTTTTGTCGTTGTCCCCGACGTCCAGCTACGTTTACACAGTTGCACACCGTGCTCAGTATTCCTTACACGAGAGACTATACACCACTGCACTATCTCATGCAAATCATACCCTGCTGCCAGACTCGCAACAACAGTCCGACCGTCTCCAGCCGTGGCCCGACACGCGCCCGCGCGCCCTTCTCCGCTTGGCCAAATGATCACGACGCTCATCATGCATGACGCCCAGCAATAAGCTTCTCTATTCAGGCTCTCACATGAGCTGTTCTGCACATGCTTCATTTGTGCGTGTGGCTGGCGCTCATAACTCAAAAGTCGATATCGACTGAGCCTCTGAGGATGGGATGGGCGGGTGCCGTACAAGACCGACAGGTGGTCCTCTGGGCCGAGGAGGTTGTGCGCAAGTAGAGCTGCCATGCGAGAGAGGAAGCACTCACGCATGAAGATCCTACTCTATGAGCATCACTTGCGCCATCCTCGTCAAATATCCCTCGCGCTCAGCAAGCGCTCGCCTCGCTTCGAACCCACTCAGGCCACACCTTCCTACCTTCTCCACCCCTTAACCGAACCACCACCCTCAACGTCCCATCAAACGCATGATATACACGCCACGGTCACGAGCGTGCTCCTCAATACAGTACTTTGCTGATTGCAGAGGAACACCCCTTGGATCGACATGTGGCGATACATATCGGTGGTGGATCGAATTCTCCGGACGAGGGGTATAAGACGTGCTCCGCGTTCGACTGGTCTTTTCGCGGCCTTGCTGTCTTACCCGAAGCACTGATACGGTATGAGGCTCTCTTTGAAGTTCGCTGCTTTGGCGCAATCGCTGTATGCGCTCGCCGCGATGGCGACGCCGAACCCGTTGCCGGGAAGCTGTACGTCGATCTACTCTAGCATCGCTATCATGTCCTGACGTCTTGTAGCGGATATCATCGTTCGTGACCCTGCTATCTGGTACAACAAGCACGACTGGGTGAGTCGCGTCTCTTCTCTGATACGGCAAGGAATCTGACGTCGGGCTAGAAATACTACGTGTTTTCGACGGGCAACAACCTCACGACCTTCACTTCGAGCAAGTTGACTGGGTAAGTCTGCTTGTCTATGTCCCGCTTGAGTTAGCCAGTTGAGTTGACTTTCATACGCTCGCAGACCATGGACCAATGAAGGACCCGTCTTCCCCAACTGCTCCATCATCAACCTCAACCCGGACGGGTGCACTCTATGGGCCCCAGATGTGAACTGTACGTCCGGCCCACCAGGTCTCATAGTCATCTTCCTCACGAGACTGACTCGACGCATTATAGACATCGACGGGCAGTATGTCCTCTACTACATCAGCTCTTCCCTCGGTAGCCAGAACTCCACCACCGGCGTGGCCACCTCGCCCAGCATGAAGCCCGGCACATGGACCGAACACGGCGCGGTTCTCACCTCCAAGGAGGGTGACGCCTTCAACGCAAGTACGTCTCGCCCACCACGATAACCCCGTTCATCCCCAGCTAACGATCGCCCAGTCGACCCCAACATCATCAACGCCGACGGCCTCAAGCTCACCTTCGGCTCCTACTGGCAAGGCATCTTCCAAATCGACATGCACAACATCACCGCCAACGCCTCCGCCCCGCCCGGCGCACACCTCGCGGGCGCCAACAGCCGCCCGGCCGAGGGCGGCTTCGTGTACAGGCCCAGGCTCTCGCCGTGGTACTACTTCTTCTACTCGTACGGCAAGACGCCGCAGGTGGGGCAGACGAGCCGGCCGGCGGAGGGCGCGGAGTATCGGGTGCTTGTTGGGAGGGGCAAGAGCGCGCAGGGCCCGTTTTATGATGGGGAGGGAAGGGAGCTTACGAGGGATGTGGATCCGCCGCCGGGGACGCTTGTGCTGGGGAGTCATGATAATGTCTATGCGCCTGGTGGTAAGTCCAATTTCACCTTGCTTGTCGTGCGAACGTGAGGCTCACGGTGTGCGTATGTAGGCCAGTATATCATTCATGACCCGCGTACTGAGCGCGATGTTATCGTGTATCACTACGTTAAGTACGATGACCCGATTGGTGGGCCGTCGTACTTGGGTATCAACTACCTCGACTTCAGCAGTGGTTGGCCTGTCGTTGCGCACTAGCTGTCCTGTAAAGTAGTTTCATGATCAAACGAACTTCACGCCTGCTCTTTCAACTTGTATACGTGATGACTCATTGCGAGTGCGGACCTAAGTACGCGATGTTTTGGCGTACTCGTGGAATGGTGGGTGGATGGATCCGCGATCTGGCGAGACATGATCTAAGGTTAGGGTCGTGCCCGGCCGCGACGTTGTTCTCATTGAACCCGTTCTCGTCGCATACAAACGTCCCGCTCGTCCCGCCATATCCCTTGCCAAAGCTTGGTGATTAGATTGAGCTCTTCGTTGAGATGACGTAGTCTTATTTGCGTGTGACTTCAACCGCTTTTGTACGCGCATATAACCAAATCCGAACGAAGAGCTCACGGGGACGCCTCGTTCTGACAGGAGTCACTGTATAATGTAAACGATGTACAGCATTATATGATACATACGCATAGTTGTAATACGAAAGGAGCAAGTATAAAGAGTGATGTTCTCGAATAGGAAAGCGTACAATTCCCCAGGACCATTCTACATCGCCAGTCTCGTTACGACATTTCTGGAGGTATACCCTGCCCTTCCGTGTCCTCCTCTGCCTGTGATCCAGAGCGCCCCTCCCGCGCGTTCGCCATGATGCGCCGAATGCGAGGCGGGAAGTTCCGGTTGAGATCGTGTCTGAGGGTGTGGTCGTGCGGTGGTGTAGGGAACGCCGGCGCCACTGTAGGGCGTGCTTCATCGTTGGCGCTGATCGCGTCGTTATCACTGAAGACAGGAACGTCTTCGCCTTCATTCTCGTTCTCAGCGTAGGGCTCCCCAGGCACCTCCCCTTCACTCAGCCCGCTCGCATGCGAAGCGGAATCCGACTCTGGCACAGTGCCGGATCCGTCCCCTTCACGGTCTCCGGCGCCTCCTTCGTCAGAATCCGTTCCTTCTTCTTCGTCATCGATGCTCGCAAGACCTCCTTCTACAGCATCAGATGAAGAGTGATATGCAGAATGTGTTTGACCAGTGTCGTCTCCGTTATCGTCGTTGGGGTCGTACAGACTGTCGTCCCTCGAATCGTACCGCTCGGAATCTGAAGCAGCGTCCCATTCCGAAGTCGTGAACGAGTTGTCAGAGTCTGAACTGGCGTCGAATGTGTTCACAGGGGTGGTCAGGTTGGTGGAAGAGGTGTTGTCAGCGTTGGGAGAGAGGATAGCCAGAGTCGCATTCGACGTATTCGACGCGTCGTCGCCAGCACGCGAGTCTAAGGTCGGGTTGGGATCAACGTCCGCATCAGAGCGCGCATCTCCTTCAGTATCGGCATTCCCCTCGTCACCGGAGTGGGGGCTGAGATGCGCACCCTCGACGTCTGTGTCGATGTTGCCGTCCGCGTCGGGCTCAGATCCTTCGTCGTCAGCATTATAGGAACCTTGCTCTTCGCCACTGGAGTCGACGAAGCGCCATTCCGCATCGGTGTCATGAGAGTCGTGAGACGGCGAGTCGTTCGAAGGGGCGAGGGACGGTGACGTGTCTGGGCAAGGGCGAGGGTCCGACATGACGTGCAAGAGACGGGCGGCTGAGAGTGATGTGCAAGGATAGATATCCGCCAGAGCACGTATGTTGAAGGAGTGGAAGCTTCAGACCAGCTGAAGGGACAGCAGAGAGAAGAGAGCTGTTGTCTCCCAGTTCTCGATACAGCCCTTCTTATATACACTCCCCTTCAGCGTATGCCACGAGTGACAACCGAAGTATATGCCACAGCGCGTCAGGGCAGCATCGAGCCACGACCAGTTCATAGCTCATAGAGAGCCGAAAGTCAAATGGCAGCTGGTGAAGTTCTGAAAGGGTCAAGGTGTGGCGATACTTGGCCGCTTGAGCAACTGGTGAATGATAGAAGGGCACCCCGGAGCTTGATACTGGAAAAGATCCCTTTGTCGTAGTCGTTGTTGGGCGCTTAGAAGCACTCAACAAGACGTTGTGGCGGTGCAAAGAGCAGCAGAGAGAATGAGCGGGGGTGGCGATCTTGGTCCGGCGAATGGGTTCGTGACCGAATTGGGTACAAGAGGAATCTGCATGATTTAGGCATGCAATTATTGGCCGGCCAAGGCTGCGTAAACGCGCCGTTAGGATGCATAGGCCCCTAGAACCTGATATGAAGGCGGACGATGGGGTACTGAGGGCGAAAGTACAGAGGGATACCCAAGCAGGTCGACAGTGCTGACTCCAAAGAATACGGGATGGCAATGACCGCTGGCGTTGACCAGTAATGTGTAGTCCGTGTGGGTCTTGCTTCTCAGTCGCCCAGCTCCTATCAACGACTGAGTTCTTAATCAAGTCAACATCGAGGTTCGAAGGAGATAGAGTTTAGAAGTTCATTCGAAGCAGAACCGGAAGCTCAGCAAAGAGAGTCTTCTTCGCTGTTTGAATCTATTCAGCAACTGGCAGGCCAGTCTGGCAATGCCTCCATGGCCCATGGACGTCGAAGTCAACGTGCTCGGTGCGTCCATCTTTCGCGACACGCCTTCGTAACACGAGGCGAAGACACGTGGGACCATCGTGCCGAAACCGCCGAACACGTGCGACGCAATGGCGCCAATCCATCTTGAACTCGACGTCCACGGACTCGTTCGCCCTCTGGTCCCCAGTTAAGTATCCTGTTTGGAAAGTCGCAACACCTGGCTCAGCTCAATGCTTGACCACCCTTCCTCGTGCATCGCTCCATGAACTCCTCCGGCTCGCGTGTGTTCACGGACATCCACCGACACGTATGCGACCTTGCGCCCGAGCTCGAGTAGCTGCCACGCCCATACCCCAGCCACGATTCTCATGTACCTATAATCGGCGCAAGTCAGACGTCAACGGTGATATACGCTGCTGGTCGGCTATGCCATGCTCAATACTTCGGGGGAAGGACAAGGCCGAACAGGAGCATTCGAGCCGAGCCTGTTGGAGGTTGAGAGCGGGTTGCGTTATTCGCTCGCAAGAGGGTCGGTCATGCCTTGCATTGAGAAGGGCCTGCACCCTGTCGATCAAGTACGGTACGAGGCAATAGTTAAGACCATCGCGCACTATCTGATAACAGAATCTTGTAGACTATACGATGTAAGGTAGATGCCCAAATTGTACATATAGAGAATACATGTAAAATATAATCCAGAAAATATCTATCCGGGCGCCTGCGCCGCAGATGTTCTAAACACCTGAGCGAGAAAACCAAGGTCACTGGCGAGTCCTTTTGAAGTCATAAACCGGCGTTCCTGGGCGAGAGATACTGGACTCGCGCTTCCGCTGCAGACTCACCCCACGCCGCTTGGAGTTCAAAGACGACAGAGCCGACGCGTTAACCGTATCTTCGGAAGGCGGCGCCGGTCTGCCCAGCGCGCGCAGGCTCTCGTCGTCTCGCTTCTTCATCCCCATCCAGCTCTACAACCTTCGTTCGCTCGGGACCGGGCGCGCGTCTTCGCGGGGAGCAGGCTGGCTTTCCTCGATGCCGTATCCGGCTACTCCAAACGAAGCGCGCCTCACGAGGTCTGGTAGACCAGTGGATCGCTCATGCAAGCCGATGAGTTCCGCACGATTGGATTCGCCGCGCGTTGCCCGACCTTTGTTCCCTGAAGCAGCCGAGGCGATGATCCGGTCTCTTGCTGCCTTGACCGAATCCGCACGCGCAGAGATCGCTTCGCCGGGCTTCTCGACCATCGAGATGTTCTCTTTGGCAGAGCGAGTTGTTGACTTCGCCGCGAGGGCATGCGAGGATGACTTCTCCGGACGCGGACGGGATGAGGAGGTGTGCGTCCTTGACACGAAAGCGGACGGGGTTGGCGTCGAGGGAAGGGCTGGGAACGATAGCACATGCGCCGGCGCACTGACAGAACCAGATGAGAACTGCTCGGATTGCCTTCTGGTCCCTTTGATGTCTGCAAGTATTGGTCAGTCAAGGACTAGAGGTACAGCACGAGCATAAAGACGCACTGTGTTGCAAGCGTGAGACCTTCGGGTGGGCCTTTCGCGCGAGCTGGGTCACACTCGACGCAGGGTCATCCGTGGGCGCTTGCGGTCTGTTTGGTTTTAGAAGGGTCAGAGCCGGTGTTGAGACATTGGTGATCGTAAGGACGGGAGGTTCCGACGTTGTGAGCGACGCAGACTCAGATTGGCATGATTGTGGTGAAGATGACTCTTCGAGAGGAGTAGAAGCGATATATGCGATCGGTGATGTAGCGGCCGTAGTTGGCGTGTTATCGAGCATCGTAGATGGGTTCGTCGCAGGAGTAGAGTACGAAGATGCACGTCTACGATTGAAGAGCCTGTGGACGTCAAGTCGGATCACTTGCCAGGTAGGGTGATCTCGAGCATACGGTGTCCTGCAATGCTCTCAGCTTCGTCTCGTCTGCGCATAGTGTTAGAGGTACTGACTGGTAATCAGGGAGCATCGGGCTGGGTGTGCGTGACCAGACACACGACTAATTGCAAAAACCAAGGGTTGGAGAGTTGAGATGGCGTCAATAGTGAAACGAAGGGTACTGGGTGAATGGAGGGAGCGAATGCAAGAGAGCGTATGTAGTTAGTCGATGTGAGATAGGTTGTGGGACATCTACACGAGAACCCATGTTATTTATGCCTTTTCACCGAGGAATACAAAGGAATGCCACAGCGCAGTGTGAAGAAAGGACATGAAGCCTCATGAAGCGTGTACGGGACGGTTACGAGTTTGGTTGGTACGCCGGGGGCCTGGGGGATGAAAGGGGGCTTGCTTGTGTATCATAAACAAAAACTTCATGCAAAGAGTAGCGAGTACAAAGGCGGCCCCATCATTCACCTTGACGCATTTGGATCTCGAGGATCGAATTGGCGCTCGCGGGAGTGGCGGAAAAGAGCAGGCGCTCACACAAAGGAGAGGGGAGACCACTCCGTCGGCGGATTACCGGCATAGTTACTCGCGACGATATGTATCAATGAGCGAAGAGTATTTGCGTCGGCGTGCAACCTCGTATAGAGTGTTGGCTATGACTGTAGATATTTCTGAGGCCCATGGACGTCGAAGTCAACGTGCGCTGTGCGCCTGTCCTTCGCGCCGTGTCGGGTGATCGGATTCGGGCTGCCGGCCCCGATATGCGGTCCCGAACCCATTTTGCGTTTTGTCTCAACCCGCCACCTGTGGGATTGCCACACCCTTATATCATGCTCACAGTCTTCTATCTGCGATGGTATACGTGCTCGTGACCGCGTGAAGCGTTACTGAGGTCAATGGGCGACCCAGCATAACGCCATGAGCCCGTCTCTGTCAATGGCATCTTCCCCGAGGCGACTCGCACCGTTCCTGTCTACAATTCCTCGTCCTCCGCTTGGCCGATGACGCTCATATCTACTGACGCCGCACTGAAGCATGGTGCATATCCTCCTTAGCGCATGTGCCGTCTACCAGAAGGTGCAAGACTGGAGCGAGGGCGAGGGCAAGGGCAAGGGCGGGTGCAGTCTGTCATCCGGTGCGGCGAGGATATCCCTATCACCCACTTCTACGAGAGCGCAAACTGAAATTGCTACGCAAAACATTAGCACTAGCTCTGTTGCGTAACATGGGCTTCGCAGACCCGACTTAGCTGAGCACCCTCGAACCAGTGGGCTCCCCCGGCTTCCTGTCAACTCGCCAAACCGTCATCTCCAGATGCCATCAACGGATGATGCTATCGACGCAGTCACGAGTGTATATCGCAATATCTTGCTGATTGCAGAGCTAGACATGTGGTGATACCGGTGATCGTTGGAATATCCGAGCAAAAGGTATAAAAGTTGACGCCACTGGTCTCGCCTTCCTGCCGACGCTGCCCAGCTGTCTGTCCGGTCTTCCTCATGAAGTTTGTCTCCGTCAAGTCTGTTGCTCTAGCACAGTCGCTCTTCGCGCTTGCTGCAATTGCGACACCGAACCCTCTTCCAGGAAGTTGTGCGTCACTCATTGTATCGCGTCGATACATGGAACCTGACGGCTCACAGCTGGCATCATCGTTCGCGACCCTGCTATCTGGTTCAACACGCACGACTGGGTGAGCTGTTTTGATATCTTCGACTGAACACGAGGCTGAATCCCTACCAGAAGTACTACGTCTTCGCCACTGGCAACAACCTCACAACTTACACCTCACGCAAGTTGACCGGGTACGTCTAAGCTTCGGATATGTGGAACCGGTTGAATTAACGTTCTGCCCGCGTGTAGGCCATGGACCAACGAGGGTGCTGTCTTCCCTAATTGCTCCATCGTCAACCTCAATCCGGACGCTTGTACGCTATGGGCACCCGATGTAAACTGTGCGCACATATCCTGCTAACCTTGCCCTCGTGAGAGTGATTGTGCTACTCCAGATATTGATGGTCGCTATGTCCTCTACTACGCAAGCTCTGCTATCGGTAGCTAGAACTCGGCTATCGGTGTAACCACCTCGCACAACATGAAGCCTGGTACTTGGACAGAGCACGGCGCGGTTCTCACTTCCGAACCGGGAGACGTTTACAACGCGAGTACGCTATACTCGTCACAGTGTCCACTCGTACCAGCTGATCTAATTACCATATCCAGTTGACCCCAACATTATTGACGCTCATGGCCTCAAGTTCACATTTGGCTCGTACTGGCAGGGCATGTACCAAGTTGACCTGAAGAATGCTACTACCAAGGCCTCCTCGCCTCCGGGTCGGCATATGGCGGGAACGAACGGGCGCCCAGCAGAAGGTGGCTTTGTGTACCAGCCGAAGCTCTCGCCGTACTACTACTACTTTTTCTCATACGGCATCACGCCCTTGGTCGGCGCTACCAGCCGCCCTGACGAAGGCGCTGAGTACAGGGTGCTCGTTGGACGTGGCAAGAGCGCCGAGGGTCCGTTTCATGACAAGGACGGTCACGAGCTCACCGAGGACATCGACCCCCCGGCTGGATCGCTTGTACTCGGGAGCCATGATAATATATACGCTCCTGGTGGTACGTCACCTCTGCACTTGTTCGTGAAGATCTTGCTTATATGCTTACAATCATTTCAGGCCAAGCTGTCATTCACGATCCTCTCAGTGGTCGCGATGTCATGGTCTATCATTACGTTCCCAATGACGCTGAAGTTGGTGGGCCGTCATACCTGGGCATCAACTACCTCGACTTCAGCAGTGGGTGGCCCATGGTCGTACACTAGTCTTGATTATGAAATATGCTCGTGTTCTGGCTTTTATACGACGTACCTTACGCGAGACTACCTACGTATCAACATGATTTACGAATTACCGTTTCGCGTGAGAGTATGACCGGCAACGGCCGGAGCCTTGAGGCCCCCGTTGTGCTCGAGGTGGCAACATCAAATGCGCTTTGCAACCTGCCCTGATCGCGACCTGGCCACGCACTCGCGTTGAAGTGATGTCTCAACAGGACGCTACTGCATCGGCGAGTGCACGACAAAGCACAACTTGCGCCCAAAATGAAACACCGCTTTGTACCATTACTCGAGAATACGCACCCCTCGGCTGCATCGTCCAGCAAGACTTGCTAGCAGACGCTAGTGCAAGCAATTCTCTTGGGTACGCTGCTCCGAGTCATGGGTTACGCTGTGTGAATACCAACAGTTGTCTCTGCTAGTACTAGTCCAGAAGCCGCTTGGGGTATGACCCCTACAGACTGGTCGTCTCAATCCAAGATTCCCCGTAAGGTATCCCACTTCTAGGGTGCTGGCGGGCTCAGTGCTGACTTAAACAATACATCCCGCTCAGTGCGTGTAGATTGGAAGCATAGCTATGAGCGTGCGTTATGGACCTTGATACCTTCGGATGAGGTTCTGAGCACGATCTTACAACGTCTGCTGATGTTGCGTTCCCGAGGTTTCAATTCCTCCTGGAGTGTTGTAAGTTCACGCTTCGGAGTGCCTGATTGGTTCGCTTACACTTGGCATGGTGATAGGTTCTTCCTCCAGGCGAAACCTATAGATATACATTCGTGCCATTGGCTTTAGAGGGCATCACAATCACCAGACAACCATATACGGCCAGACCGACTCGTCAGCCAGTAGCTCCGAACGTCTACTTACCCCCCTACACCGGCTTCCCAGAACTGGCGTGCGCCGCTCATCCGTACATTGCTATACTGGCCGCTGTAGCACACCTGCGACAACACGAACAGAAGCTCTCACCTGAGCAATTGCAAGCATACTCGATGATGGAACACATACGGTCGCTCTGGATCCAACTCAGCTCGAAGATTATAGACGATTCTGTTCTTCCCTCTATCGAGACGCCGAAGGGCAACGCCAACGGATCAGATGACTCCACGAACACACGGGTGAAGAGGCCGCGGACGTCCTCGCCAGCCTAGGATGGCAAACCGCTTCTGGTGGACATTTGAACTTCGCGAAGAGCTTGTGGTGTATAATGATAGCAGTCTTCACGCTCCTCATTCAGGCTATGGTAGAGGATAACCATACTCTCACATACACATATGAAATCTCAGAACAACGTCTTCTTGAACCATTCAACCGTCTGTGCGAGCGCGCCTTCGTATCCCGCCTTGACCTCCGGTACAGACTGATTCGGTCGGATCGCAAAGCCATGGGCGCAGCCTGCGCTTGCGTATCAGTGCGAGCACTATTATGTGCAACAATGAACGAGACATACCCTTCCAATCTTTGAACTCGTATGGGACAAAGTCGTCTTTGCCCTCGCGCTCCTTGAAGATAGCCTCCGCGCCATTCCTCTGCGCCGGCTTGAAAGCGGCTCCCTCTGCGAAGCGCGATGCGTTGTGAGCCGGCGAGTGTCAAGCAAGAGCAGGAGACATACCTTCGGCACAGGCCCAGCTCGTCGGTACCTTCATGAGCTTGACATTCTCCATCTTGAGACTTCCCGGATGTGCGATGACGAGCGTGTCAACCAACGAAGGTGATCCGCCAAGTCCGACGCCTACTGTGCCGCCGTAGCCGTACCCTACCGCGCCGATGCGATTGTACCCCTTCTCCGTTCGAAGCTTCTCAATGAACTAGGAGACGCTCTCAATTCAGCATTTGCCGGAGTGCCGCACGTCTGGGAATCTAAGTTTACCACACGAGCCCGAGCTTCGCCAACGGACGGACGCGTCCGGCGCAACGCGAAGATGTGCGTGATGAGTAGGAAGAATAGGCGGACGTAGTCCATGAGGCTGCGCTTGGCCCCAGCGCGGTCCGGCAAGAGTGGTCCGAGTTCTTCAAGCGTCAAAGCAGGTCTACCTATAACGAGGGCATTAGTGTGAATCTCCGAAGACGTGCTCGCGCTGGGCGTACCGTCGAACAGATCGGGAACCCACACATCCACGCCCACCTTCTCCGATATTAGATCTGCAAGTATCTTGCAGTTCTTGAGCGGAAGACCAAACATATCGGTCAGTAGCACAATTGCGCGCTTCGGTTCGCGATCGGCCGCAGGCGTCGCCGCGGCGTGGAAGTAAGCGCCGTTGACGAGCGACCCTTGAGGTTCACCCGGTAGTACAGAACCCTTGACGGAGTTCTCGCAGCTCATCCGGAAGCACGATCGCGCGAGATAGGGTAGAGTGTCTGTGAGGAAGGAGTAACGCTGGATGGTCGACTCAAACGTTCAAGGACTGATATGGTATTTATATTGCACACCTCTAAATGGCCTTCTAGGGAGCCAGAAACGGGATTGTTGCCGTAGACTCTACATCCAAAGCAAATGCGAGCATCGTAAACGGTAAGATTGCCTTGTAGTGTTCTTTGTAAAACCTGGGGCTAAACAGGGACAGCGGCTTTCAGCCGTTCCGTCGGAGGACGGTCATGATGGCGATAGCCAAGCCGCGTGGACAGCTGTGGCACCCGCCTGTCCATCATACGGTAACGTAGCGCTCGCGAGTTGCCGAGTTCCCGCACATCACACATAACGTTGGTAGCGCTCAAGAAGACACGCCTGTGGGATTCTAGAGATGTGGGTATACAGATATTGTACAGTCTACGTAGGTATAGTTTCTTTTGTTCTCAAAGCTGCGCGAGTTCGTTCTGCATTCTACCCTTCGAATCTCCTACATGGCATCCTCGGCGGCCGTCGTATGAACATCCTCCGCACGCGAGTCCATGCGGCTGGGGGGAAGAGGGCTACGACGTTCGTTCTCCGCGAACGTCAGCCCGACGTCGCGCTTGAGCTTCCCGGTCAACCCGTTCAGCTGGTTCGAGATCTTGCCGGTGTCGATGAGCGCCCGCGGCGCCTTCTTGCCAGGTCCAGCCGTGACGCCCGCGAGCTGGTTGGAGATCTTGCCCGTATCGATGAGCGCGCGAGGCGAGGGCTTGTTCGCGGACCCGTCAAGCGTCTGGATGGACACGCCCGCCGTAGAGGTAGACGTCGGGTAAGGGTGCAAGAGCGTGGTAGCGACGTCGCTCAAGCTGTCGAGGTGGAGTCGAAGATCTTGCGAGTCGTCTGATGCGTTGCCCTCGACAAGACGCGCGCCAGAGTTGACGTTATGGACAGCGTCAACAGCCTCGCGCTCCGCGGCGTTCGCGTTCGCGCTGCTGTCGCGCGCCTGCATCTGGCCAGTCCCGAGGACGGGATCGATGACCGCATGCCGGCCGTTGTCGTGGATCGAGCGCTTCGTGTTGCCTGAGCTAGCTTTGGACACCGTCGTAAGGAGGTTGGTGAGCGAGTTGGCAACGCCTGCTGAGGTGCTGGCCGACGGCGCAGGGCTGGCGGCTGCAGGGCTGGCATCAGGGCGGTTGGCTGGAGCCGGCCTACGGTTGGGAGAAGCAGGAGCGGCACCGCGCTGGCGGCGATCGAGGTCCTCATCGCGTTTGTGACCCGCGTTGGCGACAGACGATGCGACGGGTCCAGAGAGCTGCTGGAGCGCCTTGAGGGTGCCAAGAGCGCGTTTGCGAACGATGCTCACAACGCCGTCGACCGTCCCGACCAGGCCTTGAACGGTATCGACCAAGCCACCGACGAGACCGTTGCTGCCAGTGGGCGTAGAGGTAGAGCTTCCCGAGGCGGCACTGGCAGAGAGCTCATCGCCGTTGATGGGAGAACCGCCGTTGAAGGGGTCGAAGTCCTGCGGGAGCCCGCCCACCTGCCTGGACTGAAGCTCAGCGTCGCGCTTCTCTGCGTCGCCACCAAAGCCGCCACCGCTGCTAAGACCACTCGTTACAGGCGAGCCAACGCCCTTGACAATCGCCTCGATGCTGTTCGGGTCAGGGTTGGTGCTGTTGTACGTCGCGTTGGGAGACGCGCTCGATACTGGCATTATAGACGTTGCAGAGGCAGCAGCAGGTGCTTGGCGACGTTCATGGCCGGCTTGAAGATGCAGTCAGTATGCGAGATATCATCTTGAGTGATGAGCGTACTTACATGACTCGTCGCGCTTGACAATACCAAGAAGCTTGTCGTTGGTGGGCTTTGAAGTGGGCCGCACGGTACCGGACGTCGCAGACTGACTGGCGGCCGCGCGGATAGTCTCCTTGAGATTGTCCGAGTCCAGAGCGGCAGGGAGTTCGGTGTCCTGGAACTGCCGGCGCTCGTAGCCATAATCGCCCATGTTTCCGTCACCGCCATGCCCGTGATGCTTGTTGTGGTCGTAGTGGCCATGATGAGAGCTGTACTGGCTCTCGCCATCGCCGCGATAATGACGAAGGGCGTCGCCGAAGGAAGCGCGCTTGGTGTTGCCGCTCGCGAGTCCTTGCGCCTGGGTACCCATAGCTGAGAGCGTCGCAACAAGACCCTGGAGCTCTGCCAGACCAGCTTCAACGTCTTCGTGTGAGACTGTGGTACGTTTGGTGAAGCTGCCGAAGAGAACGTCGCTGGCCTGACTGGGGAGGGCGTTGGAGCAGGGAAGCTCGTGAAAGGCGGCGGCGCCCTCGTTAGCGCGCTTGAGAACGTCGACAGCGCGTTGCTGAACGCTGGAGCCAGCCTGGGACAGGCAGGTAACGAACTCGGAAAGCTGAAGCTCCTGCAGAGGAACGTGGTTCCTGTCTTCGGGCGCTGTTGGCGGAGTAGGACCTTGGCGGGTAGGCGGGCGGTTCGAAGGGCGCCCTTGTGATGATGGCGGGGGGCGCGTCTGGCGCTTCGAATGTGCGCGGGGTCCCCTTTGGGTCTCGTCATCGAGGGGATAAGGGTCCTCCAGGTCGCTAATGACGTTGTTCGGGCGGGCGGCAAGACCATCCTGGAGCGCCGCACTGCTCGGGAGGTTATCGGTCAGGCCATCTCCATATGGCGTATCCGCAGAGAGGTTGAGGTCCGGGACCGCTGAAGTGGCGCTGTCCGCGTCGGCGAGGTTCTGAACGACGGGGATGAGCATGTTGGCGCCGCCTGGGAGACCGCTGTTGCCGTCGGAGGTGAAGCTGAGACCGTCTAGTTGAGGCTCGGGAGCACAGAGTGCGACAGAGGCAGCGACTAGCGCCAGGAGAGAGCGCGTTGCGAAGCGCGGCATAGCTGTACCTGGGCGTAGATGTGTAATGGGCGGGATAGAGATGGGCGTGGTCGGAGGGAGAGAATCGAACGTATGCGCCTCATGACTTTATACGCCGCGAGCAGGTTGACATGCAATTGAACGCGACGGACGCTCGCGTTCGAACCCAGCAAGGATGTTCGATGTGGCTGTCGTTCAAACAGGGTTCGCAGGAGCTCTAGAGAGCCCGCTCCCGCTATCTGATCTCACTGTATGATAGCAAGATGTATGGAGTGACGCCGTATGAGAGAAGCCCCAGCTGAGCGCTGAGCTTCGAGGAGCAAGGAAGAGTGGCATATGCTCCTTGGCATGACTGCGACACTGGATCGCATCGCTGTCATTGGAATGCGAAACGGGGGACAGGCGGCAGAAGACGTGACAATGAGGTTCGATGCGCAAGTTCAAGTTGAAGGCGTCCTTTGGCAGCAAGTCGTGGCCACGACAGCCGCGCTTCGCGGCGCAGTTCCAGCAGTGAGTGGTGAATGTACGGAAGAAACGGACAGGAGGATGGGAAGCAGAGGCTTAGTCAGCCTAAGTCGGCGATTGCCGACATGTTGATTCAACAAGTGTCACGTGCCGGATCGCCGATTTTACCTTCCCACCACCACCGTCGCCCGAAGTTCTCTTCGAGGACTCGATAGCTCGATTCTTGATACACATGCGAACTTGATGATGTTGATGGGACATGAACCACGCTGCTCGGCGGGATATGCAAGGCTTGACTGTCCAGCGACTGTATTCTTCTGCAATATCGATCCGATGCTGTGCTACTCAGATTATGAATGCAGCGTTTACGCACAGTGCCCTCTCGCAAGATCTTCTCGCCCGTGTTAATATCCAGAGCTGCTTGTTCTGCGCCTGGAAAGGGGGTCGGGAAGGAAAGGCTCGCAGGGTATGATCACCTTCCATTTTCGGACAGACCCTTGTCTGCTGGTCAAGCGCCGGATTGCTTCTTACAAGCCGTATATAGAAAGCGTTGTCCTCGTTGTGTGCTTAAGTACATGCTCTGCTGTTTTGGGTAACGCCTCCTAGCATCTCGTACAGGTCGCTGGTCGACCTTTCGCCATGTCTTCACGCGCGGATTCTACATCTCCTCCGCCTTACTCGTTTGAACCGTCCTCTTTCCCTCCTCCTCCGCCCCGAGCAGGTGACGTAGCTCGCAACTGGTCGTTTCAGGCGAAGTTTGAAGCTGCGAAAGAGCCAGTGAGGCAGGCTATCTGTGCGCACATCCTCTCACATGAAACAGGCGGATCACTCAATTCACTTCGCAGTGGATACCATCACAGCGTGGACATTTTCGGAGACCTCCGGAGAAAGCTGGGACTTTATACCCCGACAGGATGTACAGGACGCGTATGACGCTGCCGCAGTAGATCTGAGGAAAGCACTTGGTACGCTGTGATCATTTCGCTCTGTCGTCTTTGGCCTGACAGACGGGCATCACAGATTTCATCATCGAAAACAAATACGCCGTATACCTCAGAGACGACATGGACCGGCGTCGACACGAATACTTTCATCGTATGGATGGCCAAGAGAGTAGCCCTCGCGTTCTACCATCCCCACAAGCCTTTGCAGACGATTTTGATACCGCTCATGTTGAGGTGCAGATAGCAGTTTGTGAGTGACACTCAATGAGCATGATGTACCACGAGCTCAACCGCGCTCTTAGTGCGGACATTTGCTCTGTGGAAATCATCTCGGGGAGGAAAGCACGTCAGACCTCTTCATGAACATGTGCGTGGAGAATATGAACGGGCACCAATCGAGCTTAAGACGTTGCTGGGTGAGATAATCGTCTGAAAGGGTTGAGCTTTTGAAGCACGCTCATGATATTGTTTTAGAGTGGGTGCTTGCATCTGGCTCGGTGAACCCTGTGCGACATTCTAGGGATGTGCGTAACTTCGAGAAGCTCGAGAAGAGCCATCTTCAACGCAGCATCATGATCCGAACTAGCGTGCAACCCTTTCTCTGATTATATAATGGTATTCGTTACACATCGCCCATAGCATACCTTGACTTCACGCAGTCCTACTGAAACCTTCCGTACTTGGCATTGTTCGCCCCGGTCCGAGCATGCTGCTCGCATCCTTGTGCCTTCGCACCATCTTTTCACCAACCCGCCTCGAAAACGAACGCAGAGTGCGCTTGGCGGAGCTGCTACCAACCTTAATACCTCGTTCCACCGATTGGAACGCGCTAACGAAACGGGTACGCCGGTGAGGTTCTTCACGAACGTCCGCACGCTCCCTTTTCAAAACGACAATATCGCCGCGAGCTGGTGCGATAGAATGAGTTCCGACAGCGGGATTGACTCTAGTGGTGAACTGACCTCGAACCAAAAGTTCAAGAAGATCGCTATCGTCTCCGCCCTCCCAGGGCGAGAGCTCAAGAGCCAACGCGGCCATCGCCTCCTGTATGTCGTGAGGCAGTGGTAACGCAGCTTCATGTTGAGCATCCTCAAATTCGGCTTCCTCTTCGTGAGCAATAGGTACTTGCACTACATCTTCAAGTTGAGGTAGTTGGTCGTGGTCCCCAGCAATAGGCGGCCATACGGCTGGCACGCCGTTCCCATCTCCACCCGGTAACGCCAGTTCTTCACCGCCAAACACCGCCATACCCTCCATCGGGTCCTGCGGCTCAGGCATGTCGAGGATTGGAGCCATCTCTTGAATCGCTGCTGGGGCAGCTCCAAGTTCGAAGTCGGGATTGAGGTCCACCAAGGCAAAGAGAGATGGTAAAAGTAGTAAAGGCTGTATATCGAGGTCGAAATCCCCTTGCCCAGGAGCTTGTCCGTCAAATGCATCGTGATCCGGAACCCATTGCTCAACGTCGCTGGTTACATCACTTCAGCATTCAAGTCTCAACTAGTTAGATACGAAGAGCGTACGGATCGCCGTGATGGTTGAAGTCGTGTTCAAAGGCCAGCCCGTTGAAGGGAATCGGAGCTTGCGGCGGCGTGAAGTTGATCGGATCGTTCGCGTTGTTCACTTGGGCGTCAAGCCACGCGTAGTCACCCACAGGGTGCGCCAACGGTCTACACTGGGATGAGTCTTATAGCGAGACCTATAATCACGGACGTACTGATTATCAGGTGGCAGTTGGTCGAGAGGTAGAAGTGGGAGCACGCCAATCTGCGGCGCAGGAGGTACTGGTGATCTGTGTGTCCAGCGTTAGCATGTAGACGGCGCGGCGGAAGGCAAATCCTACGGTGGTACGCTTCCGAGGTCGGCCATGACGTGGAAGTTGTCAATAAGAGTGGTTTGAAGGACGCAGGACTCGAGCCCATAGGGTCATATAGGGAGCAACCATGGCCATAGCATCCAAGTTGTACAAAAAGGCGAGAAGGCCGACGATACATAATAGGGCTGTGTCCGCCGAGTGCACGGGGACATCAAGTCGACAACAATTGCGTTCTAGACATCGCGGGCATAATTGTAGTTAGCTTGCTCATAGCCAATATATTCGGCTTGCTTCATGGCATAGGGTCGCCAGGACGTGCATTTTCCGCGTCGCTCTGAGCAGTCGTATGCTCGATGCTCGAAGACGAGGAAGCTCGAAGTCGTACTGACGTCGACCTGCACCTGCCACGGAGGACTAGTGTGCCGGCTCAAGTCCCGGATGGGGTGTCGGCGTCGTCGGGATGGCAAATCATCTAGTGTATCACGCCAGTGTAAGAGCCCGCTGCGTTCCAGTATGTATCTGGCTGTGGTGGTGGCCGGTGGCAAGTCACTTGCTCTGCGCGCGCAGCGCTATCGTGTCCCGGACCGCACTTCCGAGGTGCGCGTCAACAGCACCGAGCAACCACCGAGAGCTCTTGCGATCTACTTCGATGGCGCCTTCTCAAGCGAATCATGCCTACCACAAGTATAACGTTTCCGATGTATTCACTGCCTGACACATCACGTCGTTGCAGCCC